TATATATATATATATATATATATATATATATATGAATTTGGTCCAAAAGGTTTTTCGCATAGAAGGATTTTTATATAAAAAACATATTTTGTTATGTTTACTAGATTTTGCTTAGAAGAAATTTTATGTTTGTTGTTATTAATATTATTAGTTTTCATTTAATAATTTTTACTTTCATTTATTGGTTTATATAAAAATAGAAAACCTTGGTTGAACAAAAAGCATTGAAGTTGGTTGTGTTTACTAGATTTTACTTAAGAACTAAACAATATAAAACATATTATTATTAACGAATAGATGGCCGATTGGTATGTATTTTATTAATAAATGTATGTGTAAATTAATAAGTAAAAAACTGCAAAGATATATTACTAAACATTGTTATTAAAATAATTTTTTAAAGAGTATAAATAGTTGTATGATAAAAAAAATTGGATAAATATTTTTGAAAAAAAATATTTTTAATTGGGTAAATATCTTGGTTTTTTAAAAATTGTTTTTGTTTGTCTACCTATATAATTCGAAAATGAATAACATGTCAAAAATATTTGTGTAAATATCTTGGTTTTTTATGTAAAAATATGTTTTTATGTGAAAATATGTTTTCTTAAAAAAAAGGTTTTTTTATGTGAATATGTTTTTTTGTATAAATCATATTTTCACATAAAAAATCTTCTATGCGAAAAACATTTTAGACCAAATTCATACAAAAAACATATTTTTCCCATATAAAAACTTTTTTTTTTTAAATGTTTTGTAAAAAAAACTTTTTTCTATGAAAAAAGAAGGTTTTTTGAATTCGGACTACACATTTTTCTTGCCTTGCTTGTGCCACCTCAAGCATAACCAAACTACCAAGCATCACTAGATTGATTTCTTCTTTAACACTCATTTCCAAAATATTTCTACTCTTGAAAGTATAAAGTTATCGTGGGTATTCTCCATTCTAAGATATTTACATGCCAACTCTAAGATAATAATTAAACATATAGAGGTCTACAGACACAAATCTCTCACTTTACTTAAAAATCAACTATGACACCTATATAAATCTTTATAGTTTAAGTCTAAGTACTAATCCTAGTACCTAGTTGACTTAAGCTATTTTTCTTATACTAAATTGAAACACCCCTCGCCAATTTAGTTTGAAAATACAACTTTAAAACCTTTTTAGTTTAAATAAAATGTTTAAAAGTTTAAAAGTTTTACCGGTAGTAAATGGTCCCAAAAAGTATTCTAAAAAATTATAGTTTTATCGGTAGTAAATGGTCCCAAAAAGTATTCTAAAAAATTATAGTTTTATCGGTAGTAAATGGTCCCAAAAAGTATTCTAGAAAATTATTTGTTTAGAAAAGTGTGAGGTTTTAAATATGTATCATAACAAAGGTTTAAGTACCGCACAAGCGGGCCTTCTAAAAGTCCTTGTTATATCCTAGCCTCATCAAGTTTGCAATCTAAACACACATCAAAATTAATTAGGTAATGAATTTCCATAGTGAGTTACCCGAGATTAATTCATTTAGATAGGATGTCAATCCAACATACTTGACTCAAACCTCTAAAAATAGATTTTTAAACTTGCAAAAGTAGTCAAAACATTTATCATCAAAGAATAATGAATGACAAGGATAAGTAGTAAGATTTTTCGAAAGATATGCAATGCATGCAATTACACCCTCCCTTATATATGAAGATCTCATGGGTAGTGAAAAACCAAGTAGTGTCTTTATACTTGTAAATAGGAAATATGGAGCCACCACTTTATACGACACAAAGGGTAGCGATCCCACATGTGTACGTGAGGATTATCTAAAAATCTTCTCAAAAAAATATACCAAAGTCAAATTTAGGCATATAGGGATCTAAAAGTCATAACCTGTAACAACCCAAAAAAATTCAAACTTTTTTAACATTAAAATGCCATGGTTTTAAAAACATCTGGGTCTTAACCCACATTTAACAAAAATTGGTCCCACAAAAACGTTTAGAAATTAAAGCATTGAGTGTTACCATTAAGCGTCAATACAACCATAGCAAGCCAATAAGAATTACATCAATATAATTATCAATGAACTTAACAAGTTCCACTCCATTCTCTATCACTTGACTTCTAACTTCCATTTATCATCCTCTCTCCTTAAGTATAATCCTGGAATACATGGCATTAAAAAGAGATACGTAAGACAATAATGTCTCGTGAGCTATGCGGGTTTGTGACCCAAAAATTTATAACATTTTCATCAAAACATTTCATTTTTACAAAACATATATTTTCAAGCATTTTCAAGAAAACTCTTTTCATACGTATCATAAATATCATTTCATCTACTATCATTTCATTTCAAAAGATATATTTCCTCATTCCATTCTATATCAAAACATTTCATTATTCATAATGTAATTCAAGACATTTCTTTTCACATTCCATTCTGTAACATCCCGTTTAAAATAGAGTAATTAAATAATAAACCCGAGACCCCAATATGTAAATTTGTATTTTATATTATTTTATAATGGCCTTAAAATCCATAATATTTAGCAAGGTGTTGGTTCCGGGGAGCCAAATGATATAATTTAGACTTTCGGGGGTTAAAGTGTAAGTTTCAGATTGGTTATGTAAAGATTTTTAGAAGTCAGGGGGTGTTTGGTAATTATTGGACTTAGATTGAAAGGATTTTGGAATGTTGAGGGTTGAATGGTAACTTTTTGGACTAGAATTGTAATGAATTATTAAAGATGGGGGTTATTTGGTAAATAATGGATTGAAGTTGAAAATGAATTTGGAGGGAGGGGCTAAAAGTGGATTATGGATAAAGGGTTCATGTGACCGGGTATAAACCCGTCACCTTCTTGATACCAAACCCTAAACCTAGCTCTTATTTCTCAGCCGCCGGGTATGACCCTTCACCCGCCACCACCTGTTTTGCTCACCTTCCGATTATCCATGGCCGCCAAACAACCGCCGATCCCAGCCAACGTCGCTGTCGTCAATGGGTGCCATCAACCATCCAGCCCCGTAGTTGCTTCCGTCGCCGACAAGGACCACGAGCAGTCACCGCCATGTTTTTGTCGCTGCTGTGAACAACCGAAACCCAGCCGCCGTCGTCGCCTCCTTGCCTGATGACTTCGGAGAACCACCACGTACCCGTCATCGCTGTCCTATCGTCGACGAAGACGAAGAGCCGCCATTTCCGTCGTGATTCAGTCGTGGAGATCGGAAGACCGACGACTTTGGGGGCTGCTGTAGTCCATGGTCGGGTCGCTACGCTACCGTTTCCGTGAAGACGAGGCCGTCGCCGGTCGCGGCACCATTTTTCCACTATAGCATCGCCGCCGCTTACAGAACTCGTA